ATCTCGGCGGCTGTGAGCAACTGATCCCAATCGTGTTGGTGTGGATGACAATACTTTCGCAGGATTCTTTGGAGTGTATCGTTCATCTTCTCTGTTTGTCCATCGGTCTGTGGGTGGAATGGAGTGCTATACTTGAGCGTGGTTCCGTAGGCCGTGAAGAGGTGTTTCCAGAATTGTGAGAGGAAGCGAGGATCACGGTCACTGATGATGTTCTCGGGGAGGCCGTGATGGCGAGCAACATGGTCGAAGAAGAGTGTGGCGACGTCTTTGGCACTGTGTGAGGTCGTGCAAGGGATGAAGTGGGCACGTTTGGTCAAGCGGAAGACAGTGACGTAGATGCAATCATGCCCGCGGTCGGTCTTGGGGAGGCCGCACAGGAAGTCCATGGAGATGGACTGCCACCGGTGAGTTGGGATGGGCAATGATTGGAGCTTGCCGGGTTTGGCCCGATTAGAGGGGTTGACAGCTTGGCACGTGGGGCACGAACGAATGTATGCCTTAACGTCGGCGAGTAAGGAAGGCCAGCAGAAGTAGCGGGAAATGGTGTCGAAGTTTTTCTGGAAACCGAGATGTCCGTGGTGCTCGGCCAAGAGCTGAGTACGGAGGCCTCGTGCGTCGGGGATGCAAAGTCGGCGAGTGCCTTTGGTATCGATGTAGAGGAGATTGTTGTGGMGGGAGTAGTCCGGAACTGGGTCAAGATCGYGGAGTTTGTTGTAAATGGTGGCGAAGTCTGAGCAGGAGAGATAGCCTYGGGTGTATCGATGATGAAGTGATGGAAGGAGTTGAATATGAGTCATGGCGGCGTAGACTTTCTCGGGRRGCTTGTGGTCGGGTCGTCGCGAGAGGGCATCGGCAACGCGGTTGCTTTTGCCGRGGGTATGGCAAATGGTGAATGTGAACTGGGCAAGGAAGTCTAGCCAGCGGGCTTGGCGCGGAGTGATATCTTTCTTGGAGAGGATGGAGGAGACGATGGTGTTGTCAGTGCGGATGGTGAAGTATTGCCCGTCGAGGTACGCGCGCCAGACTGTGAGGGCGTGAATCACGGCGAGGAGTTCCTTCTCGTTGGAGGGGTAATTCATCTCCGCGGGAAGGAGCTTCTTGCTTGCGAAGGCGATGGGGTATTCGCCAGGTGGAGCCTCGGGGTGAGTGGGCGAGTCCTTGATGGAGGCGGTCTCGACGGCGTCGCGGGGGAAATGTTGGGACAGTACGGCTCCGATGGCGAAGTCGGAGGCGTCAATGGTGACATAGAAATGGCGAGTGGGGTCGGCGATCTTGAGGACAGGGGCTGTGGTGATGGTTTGCTTGAGTAAGTCGAAAACTTGTTGGCGGCGATCGTTCCAATAGGAAGGCTCGTCCTTGCGGGTGAGTTCGTGGAGAGGGTAAGAGATCTCGGAAAAGTTGCGAATGAACGGGCGGTAATAGTTGGCAAGGCCAAGGAAGGAACGGAGTTGGAGGAGGGTCTTGGGTGGGGGGTACTCGACGAGGGTTGTGACCTTTGAGGGGTCCATACGGATACCTTCAGCGGAGACAATATGGCCAAGGTATTCGACGCTCGAAGCGGCACACGTACATTTGCTGAGCTTGGCGTAGAGTTTTTGCTCGCGGAGGATCGAGAGAACTTGGCGGAGGTGCTGAAGGTGGGACTCGAAGGTGGGGCTGAAGACAAGGATGTCATCAAGGTAGACGACGACACAGACTTCGAGGAGGTTGCGGAAGATGTGGTTCATGGTAGATTGGAAGGTAGCGGGGGCATTTGTGAGTCCGAAGGGCATCACGAGAAACTTGTAGTGCCCGAACCGAGAGCGAAGTGCAAACAGCCCAACATGACCTATGATACTTTTGAGTAGGGATAATGTGGCCTTTGAGGCACAATCAATGTCATCTTTCACCTTCTGGCACAAGGATTTAGAAAAAGGCCAGAAGTGGAAGGCATGTACCATCTGTCGCCAAATTAGGGCCAAGGATCATGTGATCCTCACTTTAGATAAAGGTGGTGTGGAGAAGGTCCCCTATAGCCAAATTGAGTGGGGGCTCGAGGAGGAGGACAATAGTGTGGGTCAGGAGAGCACTTACGTTGTTGTCGCGGTCGGAGGGAGATCGCAAGGGAGAGGGAGAGGCCAATGCCAAACAGGACAGGCCTTCGGTGGTCGAGGACAGGTCGGCTAGGGGTTTGGTGGTAGAGGAAACTGCCAAGAGGGAGGAAGAGGTAAAGGTCCCCCGGAAAACCGTCCGTGTTCCAATCGGTCACCTTTCAGGAGGGGTGCATGGCACCCAAGCCTGCCGCAACGCAGACCTTAGGAATTGTTGGGCTTAGAGCAGATTGTTTGGCAAAGGAGGATTGATGATGATCAATGCATTTATATTATTAAATATTGCCCCAAGTATACAGATACCCGACAATCAGTTGCACAGGCAGCAAAAGGTGACCGCCAGTAGAGGTCGCCACTGCCCCTTACCCCTAGGCCATATGGAGAAAAGTGTGCGCGACACAAGGAAACTGCCAAACCACATGAGCCTATGGCAGTGGTTGCTGGCCAGCGCCTAGTTAGTTGTCCAGAGACTGCTTGCGTTAAAGTCTCTCTAGGCGCTTCCCTCACAGGACTGGCAGAAGAGCTAAAAGAAAGGATGCCAGCCTAGGCCAAAATGAAGAAAGATGGGAAAGGACAGTTGTTGTTAGTAGACGTTGAAGTGTTTAGAGACCGAGTAAAGGCCCTAATAGATAGTGGGACCATGCATAGTGACATCATAAGAAAATGTTGCAGAAGCCAAAGCTGAGTTGGAAGTCCAAAAGCCAACAGATCCCATAGTCAATGTCCTCACAGACAATCGCACTATGCGAATACAGGATTACGTCGAGGGAGTCCAGGCGTACTTCCGCCTAGAAAAAGATGGGAAGGTAGAGAAAGTTCTCCATTCCCCGACTCTTCTCTTAGAGGATAATCTCTCGTTTGATATGGTCCTAGGAATGGACTGGGGAGGCGGCAGGGGCCACAATCCATTTGAGAGAGCATGAGTGAAGGCTTCCTAGTCCTTCATGCAATGTCAAGACAGCTCGCCTGTTCCATGCGTTGGAAGTAGATAACCCTCTGGCACATTGCAGTCTCAACGCTCCCGTGTTCGCGCGATTAGTGGGGAAGGAGCAATTAGAAGAACAGGTTTTTGTAGCCTATGTTAGGTCTGTCACTGAGCCTAAGGAAGAGGAACCCACTAACCCGACTATTGCCAAGCTGCTGGAGGACTACTCAAACTTGTTTGAGCCGCCTACAGGAGTAGTGTCGTAGCCAATCAAGCATCACATTGAGATAGAGCCTAGCAGTAGGACTCCTAAGACAGTTATCTATAGGATGTCCTCAAAGGAGCTAGAGGAGTTGCGCAAGAAGTTAGATGAGCTCCTCAAGAAGGGTTGGATTAGGCCCACTTCCTCTCCATTTGGAGCACCTGTTCTGTTTGTCCCCAAGGAGGAGGGAGAGCTTCGAATGTGCATTGACTATAGGGGTCTTAACGCCGTCACAGTAAAAAATGCAGAACCATTGCCCCGTATAGATAATCGACTACATCAGGTGCAAGGCTGCAAGTACTTCTCTAAGATAGACTTGAAGTCTAGCTATCATCAGATAGAGGTGCATGCTGATGGTCAATATAAGACGACGTTCAGGACTAGATATGGGCACTACGAGTTTACAGTCATGCCCTGTGGACTAACCAACGCACCGGCCTCATTTCAGCGCTGCATAAATCATTTGTTTAGGCAGTGGTTAGATAGATTTGCGGTTGTGCATCTAGATGATATCGTGGTATCAATCAAGACCCTCCAAAAGCACGAAGCTCATCTAAAGCAGGTCTTGGAGAAGTTGAGAGAAGCTAACTTCAAGATCAACGCGAAGAAGTGTGAGTGGGTCAAGACGTGAGTTTTCTACTTGGGCCACGTCCAAGATGGAGATGGCATAAAACCTGAGGATAGTAAGATAGCAGCGATTAGAGATTGGCCAACTCCCTGCACATTGACAGAGTTGCGGTCATTCTTAGCATTGGTGAACTACTACACGTCATTCTTAGCCATTGTTGCTCCCCTATGCAAGTTGTTAAAGAAGAAGGTGATCTGGAAGTGGGATCAAGACTGTACATCGACCTTGATAGAATACCAAATTTTCAAGGTACCCGATCCATCCTTGCCCTTTGTTGTCACCACTGATGCTAGTTAGTATGGTATAGGTGTTGTTCTACAGCAAGATGATGGCAACAGGTATAGACCCGTAGAGTCTGCTAGGATGCCTTCAAAGAAGGTAGCGACATCCACCTATGAGAGGAAACTCTACGCTCTCAGGCAAGCATTAGAGCACTGGAAGCATTACTTGAATGGGAGGCACTTCAAAGTCTACTCAGACCACGAAACATCGAGGTGTTTGAAGACGTAGGCCAAGATGACACCTAAGCTCACTAGGTGGGCCGAGAAGATAGACTTTGAGCTCACATGATGTAGTTGCGGACGCTCTTAGTAGAAAAGCTGATTACTTTGGAGCGATAGTACATTATCGGCACATAAAGAAAGACCTGCAACAGAAAGTCAAAGAGGCGTATGCGCAGGACCCTATTTATAACGATCTCAAGAGAGTTAGGGAGGCCCCAGAAACTGAACCAGATTACCGCACTACCGATGGGTTGTTATTTGAGAAGACTAACGTAGTCGACCGTTTGTGTGTTCCAATGATGAGATCCGTAGCTTGATTTTAGGGAAATGCCACGATAGAGAGGGACGCTTGGTTGGCAAAAGACATTAGCCAACCTCATCCGCGCGTATACATGGTCTGGCATGAAGGTTGACTGCATAGAGTATGTACGCAGTTGTAAAGTATGCCAGAGGAATAAGACCACTATTCCTGCAGGACTCTGAGATTCGATGTCCATTGATTTTATGGATGTTGGGGTAAAGAGCAGGCATGGCAAGAGCCAAGTCATGGTTGTAGTCGATAGATTTACCAAATATGCAATTTTTGTTCCTTTTCCCTCAGAGGAACGAACAAATTTAGTAATAGAAAAGTTCTTTGATCATTCAGTGAGCATGGCCTACCGTTGTCGATAGTTAGTGATAGGGATACCAGGTTCACTTGTGAGAACTTGCATGAACTGATAAGAGTCCACGACTTTTAATGTCGTATGGCCCTCCTCCAGAGACTAACGGTCAAGCCGAACAAATGAACTAGATCCTGCAACAAGTTCTTAGGATGTCCATTAGACCCGATCAAGTCAACTGGGATGAAATGCTCCCAAAGGTAGCCAGTGCATACAACATCATTGTCCACTTAGCCACTTGTCGCACTCCCAACGAGTTACAAAAGTCCTTTAGACCGCGTAGACCGTTTGAAGAACTGGACCGGGATCAATTCCACAGGCTACCCCCCGGTACGAGGGAGTTTGCACTACAGCACGAGAAAAAGATTGCTACCGTAGTAAAGAACCTTAGGAAAGCCCAACACAAGATGATAGAACAAGCCAACAAACATTGTCGCCCATCACAATTCCAAGTAGGTGATCTAGTCTGAGTCGAGTCAAAGGAGTTTGCTCCTGAGGAGAACATCTCGAAAAAGCTATTGCCTGCATATAGAGAATCGTAGCCAGTCCTAGAAGTCAAGGGTGAAGAAGATGGGTCGTCCTACACGATAGAGATCCCAGCACAACTCCATACATATCCCGTTTTTCACGCGTCAAAGTTGTTACCTTGCACGACGAGTCAACAATTTTCGTCCAGAAGATGGATGATTCCTCCAGATATGGACCGAAGGTACGACATTGATTGCAAAGTAGATGAGGATGTATTCAGAACAGGAGGTAGAGGTCCTCCGCAGAAATAATGTAAAATCAGATTTTCCTTTCGAGAGCCCGAAGAAGACCGCTGGTTCACACAAACAAAACTTCTAGAGACTGCTCCCAACGTAGTCTGTGCCTAGGATAGAGTAAAGAGATGTAAACATCCTATTGTAGATTGAGTTATTCTCGAAGGACCTCGAATTTAGGCCGGCAGGAGTAAAACGGTTTCCACCTTTATTGTAGCAAATACAAATACAGATCCCAAGGTTCGATCCCCAGACCTTGACCTTACTCATGTATAGTATCAATTGCACTATGTGTGTTTGAACCCGCGACCTCTGTCTCGCGAGTCGCATGTCTGATGTTGTAGGATAGTGGGGCTCTCAGGTTTTGAACCATAGGTTTGTCACGTAAGGTCTGTAGTTGTGTCTGGTTTTAGCTGTTGCAATTCCGAAAGGTCAAGGTTGTAGCTGCTACAGTCCTGAAAGGTCAAAGTCATAGCTGCTATAGTCTACAGACTTCCAGAAGGTCCGAAAGTGGCCTTTTGAGAGTTATTCACGTTAGGCCAAAGGCAAATGGGCAAGTGGGCAGTCCAGCTTGGTCGAGTCATCGGTACCCACTCCCAGTCGTACTTTGTCTAGTCAGCAAGTACCATGTGGGATTGTGTGCACCATGGGCCGGTGGAAAGGAGTAGACCAGCGACCAACAAAAGTATAAATCAAGAGGCAGCGTCCACCCATTCATTCGCTTTGTTGCCAGCCATGCGGAAGCGCTGCCCGAGCGTCTTGTGCGAGGTGGTCTTCAAACGCCCAAAGTAGAAGTGGGCTGCGAGGGAGACGGAGCGACCATCGCCACTAGCAGACTGAAGGTAGAAGGCAGCCATAGCTGCCATAGGTTAAGAGTTAGTCTGTAGCGACTGTGCGTCGGGAGTGTGCGGTGAGGCGTGAGTGTGTGTGGGACATCCAGGGAGATCTAGTGTGTGTTGAGGATACATGTTGGAAGTGAGTAGCGAAGGCGCAAAGGCGCCATAGCCAATTCAAAGCAAGTTGAATCTGAATTGTGTTATCGACCTTGATATCTCTTAG